ACGAAAAAAATCAAAACGAAAACAACAAAAATTAACAAAAAAACGAGAATGTAAAGCTAGAAATCAGAAATGTAGATCCAAAACACAAATGAAACGAAATTGAGCTTGAGATTCTTGAGAATTTCAGAACGAAAGAGTGAGAAACTGAGAAGTTAGAGAGAGAAACTATGACAGATTGTGAGATTGAGAGAGAAACGGCTGAATGAGTGAATGAGAATGGCTGAGAGAGTGAGAGTGGGTTTTTTTTCTAGGTTTAGGTTTTACTTCAGTTGATCTAACCGTCCATATTCAATCTCAACATCTAAGTTAGATCTAACCGTTCATTTTTTTTTTTTGATTCTAGAATATTCATCTAGATCTAACGGTCTAGATTTTCTTTGTGCTTTTCTAGGTCTTTTTGACCGTTTTTTTTAATTATTTATTATTATTATTATTATTATTATTGTTAGTATAATTATTTGTTAATATTATTATTATTACTAGTTTACTACTACTATTATTATAATATTATTATAATTATTATTATTATTATTATTACTATTATTATTATTATTATTATTAGTTTATTACTTATAAGTTATAAATTGTAAGAAACGCAAATGTTTCAAAATTGAAATTGATTCAATACGACATAGTTAATGACTTAATGAGTTAATGGCTTAATGCTCATCAATATGACAATATCTGACATCTGTGAGTCCGTGATTGTTATCAGTATATATAATAAACTATAAAACTAATAATAACTTAATAAGTAATAATACTAATAACTAATAAAGTAATGAAAATATAACCATTGTTTTTCATGGGCATTCAATCTAACCGTTGTATATTTGACTATTCGTACATTAGTATTGCATAATGCTTTCATCACCACTTTAATTAGTGATTTCGTGATTTCGTCCATTTAACTTATTAAGTTGTTTGAGTTAGTAATCTAAATAAAGTAACAAACTAAATAACGAATCCATTTCATCTCGTGTAAGTTATAATTTATAAGAAATGCAATGTTTGGAAATGGAAATTGATTCAATACGATATTGTTAATGTATATGTAATTATATTATTATGTATATGATGTATATCATATCGTACGAATGTACGGTTGGTATCATTATCATACTATCATAAGTATCATTGCCTCATTGAATTATTGGTATGTACTATAATCGATAAACATATTTAGTTATTTACATATCTGATCATTAAAACTTAAAAGTTTAAAACACTTGTTGATCAATCTAATTGAATACTTGTACATTCTTAATTATCGATTTATCGTATTATAAGTATCAACTCATTAAATCATGGTCATGATTTCGTGATTTCGTCCATTTAACTTATTAAGTTGTTTGAGTTAGTAATCTAAATAAAGTAACAAACTAAATAACGAATCCATTTAATCTCGTGTAAGTTATAATTTATAAGAAATGCAATGTTTGGAAATGGAAATTGATTCAATACGATATTGTTAATGTATATGTAATTATAGATTAATTATTATGTATATCATATCGTACGAATGTATGGTTGGTATCATTATCATACTATCATAAGTATCATTACCTCATTGAATTATTGGTATGTACTACAAATCTACAATCGATAAACATATTTACATATCTGATTATTAAAACTTAAAAGTTTAAAACACTTGTTGATCAATCTAATTGAATATTTGTACATTCTTAATTATCGATTTATCGTATTATAAGTATCAACTCATTAAATCATGGTCATGACGCGATCTTTAAAACAATCATGAATTCAATTCATGACCCAAACCGCTTATAAACCGAACCGACATGATCCAAACCGTTCATAAACCGAACCAATTGAACTGTGTAAACCCTCTACTAAACCGGCCCATTTCAAACTGAACCGACATGATTCGCACCGTTTATAAACCGAACCGATATTGACCCGGGTAAATCCGCCCCTAAACCGACCCATTTCAAACAAAACCGGCTTGATCCAAACCGTTTGTAAACCGAACTGACATTGACCCGGGTAAACCCGCCCCTTAAACCGACCCGTATCAAACCGAACCGACATAATCCGAATCGTTTATAAACCGACCCGCTTATGACCCAAACCGAATTTAAACCGCAAAGAAATAAACCGAAACCAAACCGAGCCGTGACTAACCCAAACCGAACCAAACCGACCCGCCAGCTAAACTAAACCGTTTCAATCCGAACCGCTCCAAACCGAAACTGACTCAAACCGAGGTCAAACCGAACTGCCAGACCGAAGTCCCACCCCTAGTTGCAACACACTATAAAGGGAAGGTTTTTATGGTGAAAATTATACTATTACCTTTATTTAAAGCTCATGGGCCCACTTTATTATACTCCTAACAATCTCTTAACCCTATTTTAAGTGTATTATATCATGTGAGGTCCACTTTTTTTTAAATACCATGATAAAGTGTGTGTTGCAAGTATAAAGAAACGGAGGAAGTAGATATCTATTTACAAACAAAACTATAAAAAAAATTACATTCTTATATAAATAAGCGATATAATATAGTATGTCTAAATATCATGCATTATCTTATCAAAAAGGATTATATGACCGTAGTTAATATTTAAGTCAAAAATTTATCCTAAAATTTTATCAACTACCTTGGCCTGGGCATCGCCCGAGCACAAAACTAATCTAATACATACATACATACATACATACATACATACATACATACATACATACATACATACATACATACATACATACATACATACATACATACATACATACATACATACATACATACATACATACATACATATATATATATATATAGGAAGAGGATCATGTAAAAACAAGATTAAATCTAAAAACTGAAAACGGACAATCTCCATCGTCCATAAAAATCAACGGCTGAGATTAGAGGAAAAAAAGTTATGCTGACATTCTATCTCCTTCTTAGGTCCTTTTTCTCTCTCCTCTCTTTAAGTTCTTCTCATTCTCTTTCTAAAGAATTCACAATTTCTGGCTGATTTCCAATAGGTTCGAGCTCCGATCTTCGATCTTCCTCTGGTTTGATGTCATCTTCATCTTCTTACTCTATCAATTTTAAAATCAAAATTTTGTTGTTTCAATTCTAATATTGATTAGAATATAAATTTGGAAATTCTTGATCGAGTGAGCAGACGAGTCGAAATTCGAAGAATGCGAATGTTTATCGAGGCTTACTGAGCAATAATTCTCACATATTTCTCTCGCACTCGTTCTCGATACGATCCTTGATGAGAGAAAATGCTGCTAAAGCCTTTGTTTGAGGTCAGTCTATCAATTGCCTGCTAAGTGTTTGTTAAAATGTCAATGAGAATTTCTTGCGATTTTAGTTCAAGAAAAATTGGATTTCGTTGAATTTTTCTGCAATTATGAACATCTAAGTGTTAATTACACTGTTAATTGGGGATTTCGGTTGATATGGTTACGTTATAGTTTTTCTGTAGATTCTAGGGTTTGTGTTGTGGAAATTTGGTAGAATTTTCAATTTCTGTTTTGAGTTATTGGTGATGGCGGATAAGGAATTAGGGTTTGTAAAGCCGAGTGCACCAAACTTAAAGGAACAACTTGCTAGGAAACCTTAAAGAATGTTAGATTGCAGAGGCATACATTATTGATCTTAGAGAAGATGGGATTTATATTTTTTTGTACCTTGTGTTTGGCGCCGTGTTATAGCGATTTATATTTTTCAGTACCTTGTGTTTGTCCACCTTTTATCGTTTGTCAATCTGTCATCATTTATCAGGTGTTGAGGTTATATAAAACAAAATGAATTTCGTTACTGATTGTATATTATACTTGGTGTTCTTTTATCTATAGTGTCAATATGCTGCAGTTGCATACTAACTTTTGGAGATAGAGTTGGGGTATTTTTTTTCTTGCGCGACTAATATCTAACAACTTTGAAAACACATTTCTGAGAGAGTTTTATGGCAGATCCTTCATCCATATTGACTGGGATAATTTGTTTGCTATTGGAATTGAGCATTTATTATTGAATTGTCTCTATTGCGAAGATTGTGTAACAATGTGAGATGGTTTTTGTTTCAGACAATTGAGAAATAGAGATGTCGCAATGAGATCAAGGGAAAGGAAGAAGATGTATGTCAAGGATTTGGAGATAAAGAGTCGGTATATGGAAGCGAAGTGTAGGAGATTGGGGAGTGACCTTTGTGTAAATGTGGTCAAAATTGATAGTTATCTTATTTTTGTAAATAGTGACTTTTTTATAAATGTGGTCAATGTTGTCAAAATTGATATAATTACCTTATTTTTATATATAGTGACCTTCGTCATTTTAATATATAATGGCCTCTATATAAATATGGTCAAAATTGATATAGTTACCTTATTTTTGTATATAGTGACCTTTATGTAAATGTGGTCAAAATTGATATAATTATCCTATTTTTGTATATAGTGACCTCTAAGTAAATATTGTAAAAATTGATATAGTTACCATATTTCTATATATAGTGACCTCGGTGCAAATGTCATCAAAATTAGTATAACTTGATATAATTACCTTATTTTTGTATATAGTGACCCCTGGGTTGTTTTACACCATCAGATTATCTAGTGAACATCCAATGGCTAAGATTGCTTGTTTTTAGTTTTCACCATAAGCTCTGTTTTTAGCGGAACCTCCCCGTATATATATATATATATATAAACGACTCACATCAAACGACCTCCATATCCATTCCATTTGTTGCACTCCTAAACGACCTCTCCGATACCACCGTCATCTTCTCCAACTTGCCCGCGCTTCTCCATTTCCAACTCTTTCCAGGTACTTCCTATCTCCCTTCTTTCTATTTACGCCATTTTTGGACCTCAAGCTTTTTCTGCAAGCTTTTATACTTACAACATTGGAGCTTATTGTATAGTCGGAAGGCTACAATGGTCCGAAACCGACCAAAAATTTGGTTGCTGACCGGGTCTCTGTCAACGACAATGTCGCTCGTAGCTTGCCTATTTATGTCGGCGGTTTCTTTCTCCTCGCCATCCTCTTCAATCGTACTGTTTCCAGCATTGCTCCTGTTGCCGACGCTAGTAGGTTAGTAATTTGACTGGCGAATTTCCGGAGATTGTTGTTTGATTTAATTGTTTTGCTTGTTGATTTCATTGTATTTTGTTTATTAATTAACGCTTTGATTTTCGAATTTAAATGATCAATTTTTATCTGGAATTTGTATTTTTGTTGTTGTTGCTACGACAAATTCGACCTGAGATAAATTAGGGTACATGCGGTTTGATAATTGCTGTAGATGATGTCGAATATTTGTTGTTTAATCATGTTTCTGATTATTGCATGAATGCATCGTATTATGCTGTAATTGATAGGACTAGTTTTAAAAGTTAAATATTGGTATTTTAGTTGATAATTGAAGGCAGGAAAACAGCTCAATTCGTCATACCAACCAACTCAATTTATAAGAGAACAAAGAAAATCAGAGGATGGTTACAATTGGAGGAAATATGGGCAGAAATAGGTAAAAGGGAGTGAAAATCCAAGGAGTTATTACAAGTGTACATTTCCAAATTGTCCAATGAAGAAGAAGATTAAAAGGGCAATTGATGGTCAAATTACTGAGATTGTTTACAAGGGTACTCATAATCATCCTAAGTCTGTAAACACCAGAAGATCCTCCACTTCTGCAGCTTTTCAGCAAGGTTCTGTTCCTCAATCATCTAATGGTTACCATGACCATTCATTGGGCCCACAGAGATCATCATCCGGGCAAATGGATTCCGTTGCTACACCAGAGAATTCGTCGATTTCGATGGCCGATGATGAGGTTGGTTCTCAGAGGAGTAGATCAGTTGGGACTAATCTTGACGATGTTGATCGGCCTGAGGCTAAAAGATGGTATACTTTTTAATTTACTCATGATTTTATGTTTTTTTCCCCTATTATGTCAACTAGATTAGTCGATTAAAATCTTGGGATCAATCCCATTTATGATTAATGCTAATAATTTGATTTGTTTATGTGAAATTAGGAGAGGAGAAGTGAAGAATGAATGTATGTCAACTGCACCAGGGAGTAGAGTAGTGAGAGAGCCAAGAGTAGTAGTTCAAACAACAAGTGATATTGATATATTGGATGATTGATATAGATGGAGGAAATATGGTCAGAAAGTTGTTAAGGGAAATCCAAATCCAAGGTAAATTCATACTTTTTTCCTTATTATAACTATTATCTTGTTTTTGGTTCAAAAAGTTAGTATTGGATTTTGGCTAGTTTTAGTATATAAAAAGTGAACATATTTGTATAAAAATTTGTCTGCCTTTTTTATGCATTTTAGGTCTAGGCAATAAAAAAAATACATATTAATGAATGATGATGGAATGGCTTTAATCTCATTACTTGGCTAATTAATGTATGATTGATTTGATGATAACCCGGGATGTTTGAGGATGGGTGTGATGCCGTGTCACTAGCTGTTGTTGAGTGCGTTAGGCAGTTGGGCATGTGGTGTATTGCAGGGTAGCTGAGGCTAGCATCAAGTGGGTGGTAAAATGAGCAACCATTTGTAAAATAAACAAACAATTCTTTGATCATTTGGAAAATGAGCAATCGATTTTTTGCTCTTTCATCAAATGAGCAAATAGTTGATTGCTTATTTGTCAAATGAGCAAATAATTAGTTCCTCATTTGTCAAATGAGCAAAAACTTAGTTGCTCATTTGTCAAATGAGAAAATGATTAGTTGCTCATTTACCAAATGAGCAAACATTTCCTTAATCATTCATTAAATCAACAAACATTTCTTTGCTCATTTGTAAAATGAGCAATCATTAGTTTGCTCATTTGTCAAATAAGCAAATAATTAGTTACTCATTTGTAAAATAAGCAAACATTTTGTTTGATCATTTGGAAAATGAGCTATCAATTTTTTGATCATTTGGGAAATGAGCAGGTAGTTAGTTGCTCATTTGTCAAATGAGCAAATATTTAGTTGCTAATTTAAAAAATGAACAAAAACTTAGTTGTTTATTTGTCAAATGGCAAATAGTTAGTTGCTCATTTGTCAAATGAGCAAACATTTCTTTAATCATTTATTAAATCAACAAGTATTTCTTTGCTCATTTATCAAATGAGAAACAATTCTTTTTTCATTTTATCAAATGAGCAAACAATTCCTTGTTGATTTATCAAATGAACTGATTAAAAATTCATAACATAAAAATGATTTAAAACATATGATAAAACCTATTAGCTCAATTGGTAGAGCACTATGCAAATGCATAGGGGATGTAGGTTCAATTCCTACATAGGTTATCTCTATAAACAAAATTAATTTAAAAAAAAAAATCAAATTCGTACTAAATTATATGAGCAAAAAACTGGTTTGAAATGATTTATAACTATATAAACTTAGTTATTACAATTGAAATCTCATACAAACTTGTGTCTCCACTTTACATAAATGAACCTACGCGGGATTTGAACACACATCTTTTGTGCATTTGCACAATGCTCTACCCTTGAGGTAGTAGGCTAACGTATTTAAAACATTCAAACACACTCACAAATGAGCATTTATTTGACAAAATGAGCAAGAATCATTTGCTCATTTGACAAATGAGCAAAAAATTAATTGCTCATTTTGCCAAATTATTTGCTCATTTTTGACAAATTAGTAAAGAATAAATCAGCAAATGAGCAAACATTTGTTTAATTATTGCTGATAGCATGAACAGCAAAAGACCTCACCAAATTACGATGTCAAGTAGAATAGCTCAAGAAATCATGCTAATTTTCTAAGCAATTCACATCTTCGAGGAACCTTGCAAATCTAAAGTAAATCATTTGCCAAAGCTTAATATTAGGTATTAAGAAGTTCCCTGTCATCAAATTCAACTACTACACATCAGACTAGCAATGTATATATTACACCTAATGATTAATTTGTAGATTCAGGAATATCTAGGCTCTGTTTCAGGCATTAAGTCAGAAAGCACATAACAGGAGCTCAGAACTACACTAATGCCAAGATGGTCAATACTTTCTTGGTCAATCTTGGAATGGTATTAGAATCATATATGTAAATTCTTGGTCATTCCTTTCTTGTTAAATAGACGCAAAAAAACCCTCCTTCCTTTTGCGCATCATGGCCACTGTAGAGAGGTAAAAGTATTTATTTTGACATAATTCATGCACATATATTGCATGCACCTGTTAAAACGAGAGAATGCATTTTTCATAATCTTCACGTTACCATACCTTGGGTAATCCTAGCACACTCACATCAAGTATTATAAAGCTAAACTGCAAAGCTACTTGTTATGCTCAAAGGATTCCAGCACTAGGAAAAGAACTTACCCTGATATTCCCATGACAACTGTAGGATCAGGTGTTCCATCATTGATGATACACCAATTATCAGATGAAGAACGAAGCAACTTTTCTTCAAGATGTAGTTGTTGTAGTATAGGTACTCCATTCATTCTTATTAGATTCATCAGCGGAAGCCTAGAGTTTCTCAGTTGGGATATAGCCATTACAGAAGTAACCTACAATCACCTCAGTTCCAATTTTACTAATTAATAAAATGCTTTTCATAAATTATGATGCAGTGTTACTCCTCTGATTTCTAGATGTTCTAGGAAAAAAAAATAAAAAAAAAAGACTCTGCAAAGGATAGAAGAGATTCAAGACAGGCTACTAACGGCATATTCTTATCTGCTGGAGCCATAATTTACATCTTGGAAGGGCCAGAACTCATTTTTCAACATTCTAACCCACCAACATCATTAGCACAGCTTATCTATAATCAGCCAAGTATACAAACTACAAAGTTATTAGAACTAACAAGAAGCAAAATGCAATATTTCCCTAAAGATCACGTAAATAACATTGGCTGAAACGCAATAATATTGACCAGAAAGTAATCAAAAAGACCCTTCTCTGAGTTCTCCCTATTTGGTAGATGGCAAATTACCCTCTCCTCTCAACATTGTTCATACTTCAGAATATAAATTCCTCAATCAAACCATCCTTTACAATTCCCACATCCTCTTAATATTAATAATTAGTTCTTTATCCATTGAAGCGCCCAATCAAATCACAATCTCTCTCTATACACTATACAGCTTGCTTCATACCTTTTTAATGCTTACTTGCTTCTTCCCAGCAACAGAAATAAAAAATTTGTACTTTTATGAAAAAAGAACAACATTCTGTTAAAAAGGGTGAAATTGGTTGCTAAAAAGAAAGCTAAAATTCGAGAGAACATCTATGACAATTGGCTGTATTCAAGTTCAAACATTAAAACTTCCAACAAAATTAGATTATACCCTGTATTACAATCTTCAATTTGTAATTAAGTACTCAATTTTCAGGGTTTTTTTTCTAATCAATTGAAAAAACCAATCTTGGGGGTCCAAAGCTTCAAACATTTAGCTTTTCGCTTAGACATTTTATCGAACATTTTACGTGCATCCTCAATTCCTCCCTCACAATAACCATACATGTCTAGTTTAAGCACCGACCCATGAAGCTATTTCTACAATCTCAAATCCTCGACTCCAGTATAGACCTAAAGAACAAAAGGGTATGAAATAGCTTGAAACACCAAATAGATATATAATTTAAAGATGGAAGATAAAATTAAACTAACCTTCGAAGCTTTGCCCCCTTCAGCTAGATCCGAAAGAAATGTTGGTGACCACCTCGCTGGAAGATCGTCGGATACGGTGGTTTAAATCTATGTTGAAACTATTTTGAAATTCAATAAATCTAGGGTTTTTGTTCTTTAATTCGAATGTGGGAGATCGTACAACATTCGATTGTGGGAGATCGAAATCAGTATTTAGAACAATAAACTACAAAATGTATAAGAATTGAAGTAGAAATTTTAAGGAATTAAAGTCGACATTTTTGGGGATAAAATGTCAGAGAGGGAGAATATCAGCTGCACCAATTTTAGAGAGAGAAAGAGCTAGAACGATTTTTATAAACTTTATTATATACAACTTAGAAAGTTCTTTAATTTACAATAGTGCCATTACTTTGACAGGAGTAGATATGGAGCGTTGGATCTTGATTGATCTAAAGGCTGTAAGTTGTTCTCACATATAATGAGTTCTCACATAAAGGAGGAGTTCTCACATGATCCCATTTATATATATATATATATATATATATATATATATATATATATATATATATATATATATATATATATATATATATATATATATATATCATATCACTAATAATTAAAGTCGGTCTCGCAACCAGGCCATGACACATCGACACTTAACATTTAAGTTTTTCGCCACGTGTCGCACCACATAAGCAACAAATATGTATTATTGTGACAAATATGATGCTAAGTAAGCGAATTTGAAGTAGGTTTTTGAAGATAAAAATATTGTATAGAGTTTTATTATTGATATACTTCTAATATTTCATATATATAAAAAATTATTTCTTTTAATAAATATCGTATAACTCGGTTCTATTTTTATCATAAAATTCGTTTTAAAAAGTTTTTTAAAATAAGATCCATTTATAATATTTAATTTATTTAAAAAAATAATAGAGAATCAATAAAAATAAGTTAAAATATAATTTAAGTTCAATAAAAATAATTTCCAATTAATAACAACATAGATATCTATTTACAAACAAAACTACAAAAAGTACACTATTATATAAATATAAGCGATATGCTATCGTATATCTAAATTTCCTGCATTATCAAAAGAGATTATATGATCGTATTAACATTCAAGTCAAAAATTTTATCCAAAAATTTTATCATCCATTTGGGCATCGCCCAAGTACAAAACTAGTCACTAATAAATAAAGCTGGTCTTGCAGCTAGGCCATGAGACAGTGACACTTGACATTTCAACTATTTACCAAATGTCGTGTCACATTAGCAACAAATATGTTTTACTATGACACATATGATGCTAAATAAGCGAATTTTTGATAGATTTTGTAAGATAAAAATATTATATATAGTTTTATTATCGATATATTTTCAATCTTTCATATATACAAAATTAATCATTACATTAAATAAATATCCTATAACTAGGTTCTATTTCCATCATAAAATTAGTTTTAAAAAGTTCCTTAATATAAGATCCATTTATAATTTATTAATTTTCTAAAAAATAATTAAGAATTAGTAAAAATAAGTTTTAATCAGTAAAAATAATTTTAGTTTGATAAAAATACTTTCAATTCAGTAAAAATAACTTAAGTTCAATAAAAATAATTTCAAATCAATAATAACATAGATATCTATTTACAAAAAAATTACAAAAAGTACACTATAATATAAATAAGCGATATGATATCGTATGTCTAAATATCCTAAATTATCAAAATGGATTATATGACCGTATATAACATTCAAACCAAAAAGTTTATCCAAAAATTTTATCAACCATTGGGGCATCGTTCGGACACAAAACTAGTATATATATAAAGGGGATTTTTTCCTGAGTTTTTAGAGAGCCACGTAGGATTAAAGTTTCTTAACGCACCATGTAGAATTATAAATTTTAGTTATAGCCAATTAAATAAGAGATTTGTAATTTCTTTTAAAATTAAATGATTCAAATGCCACATAAGCAAAATTAATGAATAGGATTTTAGAGTTTAAATTAATTAAATATAAAATATTATCTTTTAAAATTAGGAATTCAATCTAAATATATAGCAAATGAGAGGAAATTCACACTTTTTAAAAAAATAAAAATATTAAATGATATACTAGGTACAACGAATATACATTTTTTTGTATGAAGCTGGCCACATGGTGTGGCCAACTACAATATAAGGCCCATAGCGTTTCAAGCCCAACAAATTACGAACCCCATCTAAAATTTAACAGACCCATTAAATTTCCCGTTATTTTAGATTTTCAACCGTTTTATTTGAACTTCCCACTTTCCTTCTTATTTTCCCCAAACCGTCATTACTACTATGAGAGACTTGTCACTTCCATTTAATTTTTGCTCCAGTTTTCTTTAATTTTTCTCTCTATTTATTTTCGCTCCTCCTGCAGTTTATTTTATTCTATCTTCTCCTATACTTTTCTTTTATTCTCTCTCCTCTAAATTCTCTACATTTGTACGAGTTATATGTGTGTTTGTTATAAGTGTATTTCGTATGGCATTACTATTTCGTAGGGGTTGAGTATCCATACATATTCACGAATCTTTGTTGAAATTCAAGCTTCTGCCATGTTGTGTTCTGAATTTCTCTCTCCTCCATTGCATTTTTCTACAATTCTCTCTCCTCTAAATTCTTGTTCTTCGTTGCACTATGACTAAATATAAGGGTTACTTGTTAATTAACAAAAAATGGGGTCACTTGTTAGTAAAAGTGAGGTACTGGGTTACTTGTTAGTCTAGTAATATAGGGGTTACTTATTTATTAATGGAGTTACTTAATTGCTAAGTTATAACGGGGTTACCTACTAAGTAATACAGAGGTCGGCTAAATTACTTAGCATTTATGGGGTCACTTCATCAATAATAGTAGGATGACAAGGGAATAAACACGCCGTAAATTGTCTATTCCTAGATCAAATACATTTTATAAACAAACCTAATACGAGTATAAGGCAAGCATAGGGATCGTACCGCAGGGAACGATTAAACACCACCAAATGTTATCAACAACTAAGCTAGTCCAGAATAGGGGAAATGTAAACTAAAGTCTAAAGATGCTAAAAACAAGAAATAAAAAAAGCACTAAGGGAAATGGTTTAGGTATAGCATTCAATCAAGCATAAACAAAGCATGGAATTGAATCGAAATGTGAACTAAGCAACTCATGTCAATGATTTAAAGCACAATCTAACCACCTATCGGGGCTAATTGATTTATCAACTCAAGCGTAATTTACACTGTCATCATAAGCCACACGAATCGAGATACAAAATAAGTAAATCATTCAATGGACATTCCTAGATCACGCTATCGCCATAACCTAGTTCAACCCACCCAACTACAACAATTGATGGGCCCCTCAAATGCAATAATTGGTAAGACATGAAAAACAAGTGAATCGCTAAACATCGCCTGCAAATCTCCACATAAAGCCCACAAATTTGTATTGAAGTGACTTTATTGCCCTTTTCTTTTTTAAAAAAAACACTCTCTACATCTCTCTAAAAAAAATCAGAAAAATCTACCTCTCTGAAAAAAATTAATTACGACAATGTCGAGGCGGCAAGGGAAAGAGGTGGCGGCGGAGGAAAGGCGGCGACCTGGTGGCAAGGTAATTATTTAAATAATTTTTTTATAAAAAAAAAAATTAAAGGGCGAAGGTGGAGCGCCAGCTCCGGCAGCCAACGCCGGTGGCGTGGCGTCTGGCTTGGAAGCCCAGCCACCGGAGAGGCGTCCAAACCAGACACCAGGCCATAGGCTGTGGCTGCCAGAGTTGGCGCCTCTGCCTATGGGTGGGCATCCAGTTCAGGCGCCTGCCCACTAGCTATGGCTGCCGGATCTAGCGCCACCGCCAGTGGGTGGGCGTCCTGGCCAGGCGCCCCACCTGCCTTTAAATTTTTTTTTTTTTTTTTTTTGGAAAATCAAAAAAAAAATTTATTTTAAATAATTTTGTTTTATGTCTAATTTTTTTTGTTAATGTGTTTGATTTTTTTTAAATATTTATTAACTTTATGTGTTATTTTTTATAAATCTAGTATATATATTTTTTATAAAATCAGATTTATTTTTTGTGTTAATGTTTAATTTTTTTATGTTTGATGTGTAAACATTTTTTATGTCTTAATTGATGTAGTATGTGGAAATTGTTTGTGTTAATGTGTAATTGTTTTTTTTAAATGTGTAATACATTAGGGTATTATGTGTGTATTTGTGTATGTGTAATATATATATATATATATATATATATATATATATATATATATATTATGTTTAATTATTTGAAATAATTTTTTTTTTTTGGAAATCAGAAATTTTGTAATACATTAGGGTATTATGTGTGTATTTGTGTATGCTGTATAATATTTTTCTATGTTTAATTATTTGAAATAATTTGAAATTTTTGTTTTGTGTCCTATTTATTTATTATGTGTTTGATTTTTTATAATCTTTATTAATTTTATGTTTATAAACATGACGATATGTTGTAAGTGTTGGTATTTTGTATGTGTTTGTAGTTATTTATTTTTCTAACAAACTTTTGTATGTTTATATATTTTTTAATTTTTTGTAGAATTCACTGGGTCGTCATGGTGCGGGGAAGAATCTAGAGCTTCTTAGTAGAAGCTATTCAGTGGAGAGGTCGGGGCATAGACATGTTAGATCCCGTGGTATTTCGGCCTCGGCTCGTAGAGAACGGATCCACCGTCGGGATGAGGATGACGATGACGATGATGATGCTGAGGAGGGTGACCAGGAGGAGTAGGAGGAGGACGCATATGAGGATGAGGATGTGGACGATGGGAGTGGACCGTATGATGATTACGGTCCATTCATTCAGAGGGTTGATGACATGTACGAGACACATATGGTAGAGGTGCGTAAGGGTAGGGGTGGTAGGTTTGTTAGTAGATCTGGCACATCATCTGCGTCCACTGTGTCTGGGGCAAGCAGGAAACGGTCGAGGGTCGTTAATGATTCTTGGGTTGTTAGGAGTGAGGTGCCCGGTGGGCCTGTAGACGGGAGTGTGATTCCTAGCTTTCTAGGACACATAGCTACCCGTATTTGGGAGGACCAGGAGAGGCCTTCAGTTACGGGCTTGTTGAAATGTCATACCCGGGAAAAGACATGTAGCTTTTTGCGTACATGGGTTGAGGCTTGGCCGGCGGAAAGCGAGATGTTCGAGCGATTAGAGGGTACTGGGGTGAATCACGTTCCTGCCACCATGCACGATAAGATAGACACTACGCTGATCACGACTTTCGTTGAGCGATGGCAGCCGGATACAAACTCTTTCCACCTTCCGTTCGGTGAGATGACGATCATGTTACATGACGTCGAGGCCATTCTAGGGATTCGTGTTGAGGGTAAACGACTTTGTGCTGTGACTGATGCGGATCAGACAGATTTGCTGGCGGAGTTGTTGGCGGTGGACAGG